CTTTCGATACTGGCAACTTCAAGACATCTTATAAAACCTTCCCTATTGGGTTCTCATTTCTATTTCGATGATATTGGACAGTTTGGTTAACAAAATGCCTATGAACCATCTGGATATCTGTGAATTGCCTGTTCAAATCTTTTGCTTATTTGTATTTTTTATTACTGATTTATAATAGTTCTTTATATATTCTGGAGGTGTCTTTTTGGACATACCTATTACAAAGTCCCACTTTGTAGCACGTTTTTACTCTCAATGATAACTTGATAGCTAACTGCAATGCAATTCAGTTCATCAGCTTTTTAATATGTGGTAATTTTTGTTTTCTAGTAAACCTTTGACTATCCTCAGGGCAGAAAAATAGTCTGTTTTCTTGTCCAGGCTGCATTAGTTTATATTTTGGATTTAGGACCATGATCTTTTTGGAACTGATGTTTGTACACTGTGAGAGGTCAAGATTCACTTTTTTTCAATATCCAAAATTATTAAGGTAGCTGAATTTTTTTTACTTAATCAATTTAACTTGATTGATGTATGACTCGTTAAAACTTTGTAGTTTACTAGTATTAATTTCTGTATTTTATTGAGATGTTTTTGCTATAGGGCACGTGTGCTCGCCAGAAAGAGACAGAGAGAGAGAAAGGAAGAAATCACCTGCCAGGGGGAATGGCCACACCGCAATCCCTTCTCCTCCATTCTCCTCTCGGGATCTTGGGCACGCACGCATGCGTGCCCAGTGTGAGTTTAAGCCACCGGGTCCAGGGCTCAAACCACGGTCTACTACATGGGAGTCCAACGACATAGCCATTACGCCAACTGCTGGCCCCGTAATTTCTGCATTTTTGCTAAGTAGTATTTTATCTTTTTTTACCTTTAAAGGGGGAGTAGGAAGAAAACACCACAGTGGAAGCCATGATGGAGTCCTAACGCAGGGAGTTGGGATCACACACCGTCCGCACTAGGACTGCCTCGACAGAGCCGCTGAAATCCTCAAATGCCCCCATACCCACAGAACAGGCCAATCATAGTGCCCTGGTGTGATCCAAAACCCACACTGGATAGGGAAGACTGAATCCAAAGTGTGTTTGGAGAATTTAGGAAAGTCACAGGTGAAATTTCCCTTTGCTATGGAATCACAAAAATCCAGGGAGACTTCAAGGTCAATTCGGAGAGACTTCAGGAACAAAGCTATTACTTTTCCAAATGTCTTTGAGGTGATTTGATTTCTCCTTGACTTTCTTTTTTCCCAGAGACATTTTTGCTATAGGGCATGTGTGTTTGCCAAAGACAAAACAGTGAAAAATGACCCTCTAGGGGTCATGGTCACACTGCAATCCCTCCTCCATTCTCTTCTAGGGATTTTGAGCCCTCACACACATATACCCGATGTGAGTTTCAAGCTGCTGGGTCCAGAACTTGAACTGTGGTTGGCCATGAGAGTCCAGTGCTACAGCCACTATGCCACCTGCTGCTCTTTTCCTTCGTCTTTTAACCACCTGTTCGCAGTCCAGTCTGGGCTGCCCTGAGGAAAGGCTACTTTGATTTAATAAAGCCTTCCTGATGGAACCATAGGACTTACCTTAGGCCGCTTGTAGGCCCTTCATCTTAGTATCAATTACGTGCTCCCTTTTTTCAAGAGTTTGTGTGCTAGGAACTGTGAAGCACTTTGTAAGAATTTTTTTGAGTTTTTTTTTTTTTTTTTTCCTTCCTATAGGGAGTGTGTACTTGCCAGAGACAACAAGAAGTCAACCCCCCAAGGGAAGATGGCCACACAATTCCTTCTCCTCTAGTCACCTCTTGGGGATTTTGGGCACATGCACGCACATGCCTGGCATAAATTTTAAGCCACTGTGTTCAGAACCGTGGTCGACCACGTGGGAGTCCAGTGATGTAACTATTATGCCATCTGTTGGTCCCAATAATTTTATTAATCTATGTACCGTCCATGCTTCCCTTTCAAAGCCCTTCTCTCCACCGGAAATATTACGTTTGTTGCCTGTTCACCTGGAAGGCAAGGGGTGCTTGTCTCTTGTTTACTGCTCTATCAAAGCCTCTAGCCTGGCACGACCACACAGCAGGTACTCAAGGGACATACTTGTAGAATGACTGGGTTCCAGTTTCCAAGGTTTTTTATTTTTATTTTTTTTGAGAGGTTTTTGCCATAGGGCACATGCGCTCACCCGACAGACAGAGAGAGACAGAGAGACAGCAAGAAATCACCCCCCAGGGGGGGTGGCCATGCCGCAATCCCTTCTCCATTCTCCTCTCAGGATCTTGGGCACGCATGTACATGCGTCCGGCATGAGTTTTAAGCCACCGGGTCCAGGATGTGAACCGCGGTTGACTACATGGGAGTCCAGTGGCATAGCCATTACGCTAATTGCTGGTGCCCCCCAGTTTCCAAGGGTTTTCATGGCAGGCCTTGCCCATCCTTCTCGGCAAAGCACTGAGGGTCTATGGGCAACACGAACGTGGACATCTCAGCAGTCAATGTGTCAGTGTGAAGAGAACGAAAATGAGCTAGGTAGGCATCGCTGGTGACTAGCTCTTCTTATTCTTTTCAATCGAGTTTGTTGTGTCATTTTTTTTCCCGAAGGGTCATACTGAATAGAGAAGTTTCTGGCTCTCATCTGACAAACCACATTATTCATTTTACTGTTCATCCTTTGTCAGTTTCATCAGTAAAGTACCTCGTGTGGATGAAAGGAATTTTCACCTTTGCTATTGTCTCTTCTGTTTCTTTTAATTCACTTCTCAAGGGAGGATCATCTGATTGAAAAACTACTACAAAATAGTTTTATTGCTTCTTGTTGAGATGTATTAATTGCTGTGATTACCTACTTCTAATAGATAATCTTTGAAATTACCTTAAAAATGTAGGACATTTTGCATTATTAGGGCACCACTTCAACTTTATATGGGTTTATCATTATTCATGACAGATTAATCATTTCAGCAGGGAATAATCTAAATTCTTAAGGAAGAGTCATTGCTTTAAGTTATACATTATTCTGAATTAAATGCTATCAGATTAAAAATAGGTACTACTAATAATTTGAATACAGTTGAACAAACAGAAGACAGCTTTTTAAAATCTGAATTCAGGGAACCAGCAGTTAGCGTAATGGCTATGTTTGCCATAGGGCACATGCGCTCACCCGACAGACAGAGAGAGACAGAGAGACAGCAAGAAATCACCCCCCAGGGGGGATGGCCATGCCGCAATCCCTTCTCCATTCTCCTCTCAGGATCTTGGGCACGCATGTACATGCGTCCGGCATGAGTTTTAAGCCACCGGGTCCAGGATGTGAACCGCGGTTGACTACATGGGAGTCCAGTGGCATAGCCATTACGCTAATTGCTGGTGCCCCCCAGTTTCCAAGGGTTTTCATGGCAGGCCTTGCCCATCCTTCTCGGCAAAGCACTGAGGGTCTATGGGCAACACGAACGTGGACATCTCAGCAGTCAATGTGTCAGTGTGAAGAGAACGAAAATGAGCTAGGTAGGCATCGCTGGTGACTAGCTCTTCTTATTCTTTTCAATCGAGTTTGTTGTGTCATTTTTTTTCCCGAAGGGTCATACTGAATAGAGAAGTTTCTGGCTCTCATCTGACAAACCACATTATTCATTTTACTGTTCATCCTTTGTCAGTTTCATCAGTAAAGTACCTCGTGTGGATGAAAGGAATTTTCACCTTTGCTATTGTCTCTTCTGTTTCTTTTAATTCACTTCTCAAGGGAGGATCATCTGATTGAAAAACTACTACAAAATAGTTTTATTGCTTCTTGTTGAGATGTATTAATTGCTGTGATTACCTACTTCTAATAGATAATCTTTGAAATTACCTTAAAAATGTAGGACATTTTGCATTATTAGGGCACCACTTCAACTTTATATGGGTTTATCATTATTCATGACAGATTAATCATTTCAGCAGGGAATAATCTAAATTCTTAAGGAAGAGTCATTGCTTTAAGTTATACATTATTCTGAATTAAATGCTATCAGATTAAAAATAGGTACTACTAATAATTTGAATACAGTTGAACAAACAGAAGACAGCTTTTTAAAATCTGAATTCAGGGAACCAGCAGTTAGCGTAATGGCTATGTCACTGGATTCCCACGTAGTCGACCGCGGTTCATGTCCCGGACCCGGTGGCTTAAAACTCACGCCGGGCGCGTGTGCGTGTGTGCCCAAGATCCCGAGAGGAGAATGGAGAAGGGATTGCGGCGTGACCATCCCCCCGGGGGGTGATTTCTCGCTTTCTGTCTCTATGTCTCTGTCTGTCTGGCAAGCACACGCGCCCTACAGTGAAAATCTCTCCAAAAAAAAAAAAAGAAAAAAAAAATCTGAATTCAATAATCCTTAGTTGTCAGCATACCAAGAAGGCCCTCTGAAACAGAAATTCTACCGATCAGCTTTGACAGTTCATGAATTCACAAATTCGCCCTCCAAATGACAGAGGATACAATTTATCTTCAACCTCCTTAGATACATTCAAATAAAAATCCCACAATTTAGCCTAAAACTCTCTACCACCTCTATATAAACTTTCCATTCACAAATTTAAGCCGTCAATCTTAGAAATTTGAGTTTGCAATCTTTTTTAGGCACAAAAGAATGGTTTAATCCAGGTCCTAAAATGTCCTAAAATCCTTGGTCAGACTCCTCAGACATAGCCTGGCTATTAAACGAAGTCACTCTGCAAATGTTAGCATAACATAGATGTCTGAAATTTTCAAGTACATTTTTAAAAAAGAATTATTTATCATTATTATTTTTTTATTTGCTGTAAGATATGTGCAATCATCAGAAAGAGACAGAGAGAAAGAGAGAGGGAAAGTGAGAAAGCAAGCTACCAGGTCTGGGACTTGAACTGTGGTTGGCCACGTGGGAGTTTAGTGCCTTAACCACCATTGCTACTTGTTGGCCCCAAGTACAATACCTTTTAAAATTGACCTGAGAAAGAATGGACAAGAATGACAGTAAACTGTGACTATTTTAGAATGCTCTTTATTCTGACAGCTACTGGACAATATAAGGCCTACTCACAGGTATCTGAAGTTACACACAAAACGCACTCTCACACTTGACAGCTGTTCATCCTCTCCTCTGTACCCGTGTTACAAACTGGCCCCTCTGTACTTGAAGATCTAAAACTCTCTGATTATTACGAGCACTCAATGTTTTAGAGATCACCGAAGATGTTTCAAAATAAGCAGTGAACTTCTGTGGACTAAATCACAAAGACACCAACACTCACATCAAACTAAGGGATAAGAAAGCGACCAAGTCAACTCAAAAGCTAGTGACTTGAAATTCCCAGTGGAATAAGAACACACTGAAAAACATTTTTTGATCCTTCGTGTTTGAGAGAAATGGAATGTATCAGGACCCATGTTTCTATGCTTACCACTCTCTCTACGTTGCTGAAAGATATCTAATATTTTAATAGTTTCTAGTGCAGTTAGGGTTTTGTTCTCAGGTCACAGTACAAGATTGCATGCATTACTTTACACAAGGGTCAAACACAGGACGACGGTAACACAGAACCTCAGGGTTACCTAGTACACAAGTTTCTCTCTTGGTGCTGGGATAAGGAAGGACGGCGGGAGTGGCCACCGTGTGCAGTGCCTGCCTGAGCTCAGCATGGCGCTAGATGTTACGCCGTAAGCACAGCTGAGCTGATTCGCAGAAGGACAAACGCGACTGACATCGGCCGGTTTCTCAGGGTCACTTTCCATGTGGGGTCAGCATGATGAATACATGGCCTTGACTGAAGGGGCAAAAAAGCCATGGCTGATATTAATAAGAAAGTAGTCTGTACTTGATTTCCAAAAATCAGGTCACACTTTTAGAAGGTGAAAAATAACCACTTGAACAGTCTATGGGGCGAATAAAATAATGAAAATGGAAATTTAAAAAAGCACACAGTGTTTTATGAAGAGATTGGAATCTTTTGGTCAAAATCTCTGAGGAAAAATGTAGACATATTTTCAAGAATACCGAAACTTTTAAAAATTCTGAATGGTCAATATCCTCTCTTGCGAAGCTGCTAGAACAAATTTTTCAAACACCAAAGGGGAGCGTGGGGAACTGGACTGGCTTAAGAATTCTCATGATTCAGGGACTGCTTTCAGGGTCTCACAAGCCACCCTGTGCAGCCCCACAATGTCAGAACATGGTCACACATCATTTTATTGGCTATTTGTCACTCAAGTGTCTAATCAGAGTGGGGAGTTTACTTATATCGACTGTTAAAGATCTCCACTTATTGGCTTTGGGACACACAACGCGAGTCTTCAAAGGTTTGCTTTTTGTAGCACAGGTGGTATATTGTCCTTCCAATTCAACAGGCTGGTGGGTGACGCTTTAGGAAAGTGAGACGACCTAGAATAGCAGGTAGGAGGCGGCCCATTTTCGCTGGGCTGGCCTTTCCAGAAGCGCAGGTTACTCTTCTGAGAAGAGCTCACCACCACGGCAGGCTGGGCAAGCACTCTGTCCTTTAAGCAATTGCTTAAAGCACTGAAAAGGAAGAAATGAAACCAGTCAGTGTTGTGGGGACCATCAAGTCTCCCATGCTACTGGACTCCTTGGAAGGCATACTAAAATTCCCTCGACGTGTATCAGGACCTGCCCAATGCTCAGGGTCACTGATGCCCTCTTAGGCCAGGAGTGTGGACAAAACCCCAGGAGCAAATAATCCACTTCAGAATTAGATCCATGGGCGGTTATTCCCTGTCCCGGGCTCCAGTTTCAGCTCTGTAGCTTCAGCTGCCCTGACTTCTAATGGTGGCACTGGCTTGTCACCTGAACTCAGTCGCCCAGGTCTTATCCCATCCCTCTGCTTTGCCCTGGCCCTGGTCCTTGCACATCCCACCAGTGTGCATGCCACATTTCTGCGACTCCTGGCCACCCGGCCTCCTGCTGCCCACGTGCTTGTGAGTGCTGGAAGGGTGGAGAGCGCAGGCACAGGACACACACGTACGTGTGCACCAGAGACTGCCGGCGGTCTCGATGCCTTCTAGAGTGGATGCGGCTCTATTCCTGCCTTACTGAACTGATGTGGGAGAGTTGTGATCTGTTCTAACCCAGCAGATCAGGTATGTGGGGCAAATCCTCACAGTTCCTATCATACCGGGATGGCTGTCACACAAATCTGGAGAAGAGCAGGCCAGAATCTCCCAGGGTCAGGCATAGGGACCCATCAGGTTTAGTTTTTATCCTTTAAGCCACCTTCACGCACTACACTGAACTGACAAACTGTTGCACTGTTTATCTCCTTAGTCTGTGTAAAATAATACACCTCTCAAGGAACTAATATTGCTTTGAATCCCAGCTGACTGCAGTTGAAGTCCCAGATCCGGTGGCTTGAAGATCATGCTGGGCACATGTGTGTGTGTGTGTGTGTGTGTGTGTGTGTGTGCCCTAAATCCTGAGAGAACAGAGGAGCTGGGGCTGTGCATGGCCATCACCCACGTTGGGGGAGGGGGGCGGGGGGGTGGCGTGATTTCTCACTTTCCCTCTCTCTGTCTCTCTCCAGTGAGTGCATACATCCTATGGCAAAATCCTAAAAACAAACAAACAAAAAGCCTTTATAGGCACAATATATGATAGAAGGAGGGCCAGAGAGAATTCTTACCCCTTTGTGAAACCTATGCCCACATTTCAGCACACGCATATTTTTTGATTTGAATTCCTCATGGCATATTTCACAGGAATTTGAACTAGAAACCTGTGAAAACAAACAGGTAATAACAAATAAATAATATAGAATAACTACATTTATTTCTTTTATTTTTTGGAGAGGTTTTACCATAGGGCATGGGCGCTCTCCAGAAAGAAACAGAGAGACAGAAGGCGAGAAATTACACCCCGGGGGGGGATGGCCACGCTGCAATCCCTTCTCCATTCTCCTCTCAGGATCTTGGGCAAGCACGCGCACGCGCCCAGCATTAGTTTAAGCCACTGGGTCTGGGACTTGAATCGTAGTTGACTCATGGGAGTCTAGTGATGCAGCCATTACACTAACTGCTGGTCCCTACATTTATTTATTTATTTATTTATTTTAAGGAGGTTTTTGCTATAGGGTGCGTGCGCTCACCAGACAGACAGGGAGAGACAGAGAGAAAGCGAGAAATCACCCCCCACGGGGAATGGCCACGCCGCAATCCCTTCTCCATTCTCCTCTCGGGATCTTGGGCACACACGCACACGCTCCCAGCATGAGTTTTAAGTCACCGGGTCCGAGACGCGAACCGTGGTCGACCACAATTCAACAGCATTTAAGAAAAAAATGTAAAAATACAAAAAAGTATGCTTTCGAAGTTCTAATGTTCTCAGAGCAAACACTGTTACACGTGGTTCCAGATTCCCAGGTGAAACTCCATAGATGCTTCTCTCTCCCACACCTGACCTGAAGTCTGGTGCTAGCTCAGTATTACTCATCTGTCAGTCATCTACTTATCTAACAGTTGGAGAGAGCAGATCATCACTAACCCACTCAGTGAGCTGTCGTGTGATGGCTTAAAATTATGCAAGAAGCCCATAATCCCTGACTCAGAAAGCTGAATAAAAAGCAGGTTACACGATAGTTTGTATCATATAATTTAGACTTTTAAAAATAAAGAGAATGTATGTACATAGATGCCTAGAAAGGAGCCTGGAAATATGTACAAAAATCTTAACAGTGTTTGCCTCCGGTAAAAGAAGATTTAATTTTTTTCTTTACTGTTTTCTAAAGTTTCTATGAACATGGATGACTTGTGCAGATCAAAACAAAACAAACTGATGGCTCATCTGGCAAACCTCAGCAGTCAGGGACTGTGTGGGGCACTGGGTACAGAGAAGAATGGGAGGTTCCGGCCCAGCGCTCACAGTCTGGTGAGCACAGACAGGATTTCCCTGTGCAGCAGACGCCGAGGGCCCCCAGCACTCACCCCATGTTGTACCGTGAACCTTGACTCTTAACGGATGGGTGTGTTATGATTTACTATTAACTTTTTTTTTTTTGAGAGAGATTTTAGTTTTGCTATAGGGCGTGTCCGCTCACCAGAAAGAGAGAGACAGAGAGACAGAAAGCGAGAAATCAACCCCCAGGGGGAATGGCCACACTGCAATCCCTCCTCCTCCATTCTCCTCTTGGGATCTTGGGCACGCACACACACGCACCCGGTGTGAGTTTAAGCTACCGAGTCCGGGACTTGAACTGTGGTCAACTACATGGGAGTTCAATGACATAGCCATTACGCAACTGCTGGTCCCTTTTTAAATTTTTCTTTTTATTTACTATGTTTTACTGGTGGCTTAAAACCCCTACTAGGTTCATGTGCGTGCGGGCCCAAGATCCGGAGAGGACGATGGAGGAGAAGGGATGGTGGGATGGCCATCTCCCTGGGGGGTGACTTCCTGCTTCTGGTCTCTTGTCTCTCCAGTGAGTGCATGTGTTCTATATCAAAAATCTCCCTTAAAAAAATAAAAAAGGAAATCTGTGGTTAACTTGACTGTTTCCTAGCATGGAAAGACTGGCACAGTGTATTTCTAAGTAAAAATAAAAGGACAATCACAACTGAAACAAAAAATCCTGGGGCCAGACAGTGGTGTGGTGATAAAAGAAGATGTACTCCAAGGCTGGCCCACATGGGAAGGCTCCAGGTTCCTGTCTAGAGACCGCCCTGAGTACATCAGAAATGCACGTGCTCACGCTCTGGGGCTGGGTGGGGTTGGGGGCAGTCGTAGCCTTAAGGCCCTGTCAGGGCTGCTGTTTCTCTGTCTCTCTCTTGTTCATGGAACAAACAAATAAGCTTTAAAACAGATACCTACTGCTAAAGGACATAAATTATGGGTAAAGTATTTAGTTTTTAAGACATTCACACATATATGTAACCAAAGGTGCTTAGAAAAATACACAATCCTCTAATTATACCGGTTAACAAGTGGACTTATGAGTTTTTTTAAATGCCATTTTACATTTTCTGTCATGTGCATGTATTAACATTATACAATATATTTTATATATACATATTATAATATATTATATATTATAATATATATCATATATTTTATTTTTGAATTTTTAAAAATTATTTAATATTTTTAACAAACTATTTTATTTAAATTTATTTGTTTGTTTGTTTGTTTAGAGGGACAGAGCGAGAGAGAGAGAGGGAAAGTGAGAAAGCAGCCAGGTCCAAGACTTGAACTGCAGTCAGCCATGTGGGAGCCCAGCACCCTTAACCACCACACCACCAACTGGCCCCCAAGAATTATTTAATTTTAATTAATTTTACTTATTATTATTATTATTTTTCAATTTGATGTCAGAGACAGAGAGAGAAGAGAGGAGAAAGTGAGAAGGCAAGTCACCAGGTCTAGGACTTGAACCTTGGTCGCCATGTGGGAGTCCAGTGCCTCACCACCATGCCACCTGTTGGCCCCACTTTTGTAATATAATTATATAAAACTACCTTTAATTTTTTTTAAGATTATTTAATTTAATTTTATTTATTCATTCATTTATATTTTTTTATTTTTATTTTTTGGAGGTTTTTGCTATAGGGTGTGTGCGCTTGCCAGAAGACAGAGAGGGACAGAGAGACAGAAAGTGAGAAATCATTTTCCGGGGGGAATGGTCATGCCGCAATCCCTTCTCCTCCATTCTCCTCTCGTGATCTTGGGCACACACGCACATGTGCCCGGCATGAATGCAAGCGACCGGGTCCAGGACTCGAACTGTGGTCAACTACATGGGAGTCCAGTGACATAGCCATTACATCAACTGCTAGTCCCCCAATTCATGAATTTATTTTAACTTGACCAGAGACATGTACACACACATATACACACACAGACATATACGCACACACAGAAAGAGAGAGAGTGAGAGAGAGAGAGAGAATAAGGCGCCAGGTCTGGGACTTGAACTGTGGTCAGCCATGTGGGAGTGTCCAGCATCTTAACCACCATGCCACCTGCTGGTCCCTACTACTTTTAATTTTTTATAAACCTCACCCATGATTTTCAAATTAAGTCCCAGTTTAAATACCTATTTTTCTTCCTCATATAATTTGGTAAAGTTTAAATAAATTGGCTTTTGCATTTGAATTATTAAGATCAATTGTGAAGCAGAAAGAGTTTTTCTTTCTTCCGGGTGATTCCAGTCTCCTTGGGATGGAGGTGGCCAAGACCACACACATGAGTGAGGAGGCCCTGCTAATTCTGCTACCTGGAGGATCACAGAGCACATGCCCCATTTGGACACCCTGGGGAGTCTCTGGTGGGTCTCACAGGAATG